CCTTGCTGATGAGCTCTTGCAGACTGCTTGCAACAATTCCTTTCCGGCTGCTTCGGGAGGCATTCGACACACGGAAAGGTCGCCCTGCAGGCATGAGAGGAGGGAACAGGGTCTGTTTTGTTACTGCTCCCACAGATGCTCCCATGGATACCAAAGATCTAAGACAAATAAAAAATCAGCATAGTTATAAAAATAATCATGTCAAGTACTGTGAGAAGGAGGAGAGTTGAGTTCAGTGACATAAGCACATTATACAAGTAATTCACAGGTCACATTACACTCATGGAGCTTGCTTTCAAAACTAAATACTACATAGCCCTACAGACATGGTGTCTCTGAACTTTCTCTTGCCAGTGACATTTGAAAACACTTCTAAAATTAAAAGCATTTCAAGCAGATGTGGGCCACCTCTAGCTCAGCTGATGTCAAGGTCACAATTACAGTGAGGCTGACAGGTTTTTAAACACTGAATTAGAAAGGCAGCAGCTCTTACTGCATTCAGCCACTCAGAGCATTCTCTTTACCTGCAAGATAAACACTCAATGAGATAAATAATTCGTTGAAAGTAGTCTTGTGTGTTAAGATCTGAGTTTGCTTGAGGAAGACTGAACTTATTATCCATATTCAAAACCCCTAGCATCAGAACACAAGTGGAGCTTTTCGATATAGTTATGCTTGACTTCCAAACAGCCAAGGCATTTATAGTAATAGTATAGTAAATAGTATCTACAGCCTATAAAACTTTATCTAGTTTTGAAAAATCACAAAATAAGACTTGTTTGTGCCCTAATGTATCAAAAGAAGTCAAATGAAATGAAAATTAAGATCAAAGTACATAAATGCATAGTGTTGGAGCAGGCTGCCAGAGAGGCTGGAAGAATTCAAACACTTTTAGAAAGAGGATTTAAATTTTCCTGGGCAATCGCATGTTTTAATAGTGACTGTTTAGGTTGCCTTAGGTAAACCAAGCACATAACACTGGTAACTGCCTACTCCCACACCAAGGTACAGACCTGCTGCTATCCACATCTAGTGACAGCTTTTTGCTGCCAAATTACATTGGTTAATTCAATAGCCAGCTTGCCAAAAATCACCCTCTGCATGACACCTGGAAAGAACTGATGTCCAACAAGTCTTTTAAAGGGAGACAATATTTTGCCTGCTACATTCCTGGGCTTTATCCCCTGTATACCTTTTGCTCCTTAATACTGAATTGCACAGGAGTGGGAAAGGGATGCATCCCCATTTTGTTCCCCCACATAGGTGTAAAAGATCAGCTTTATGTAGGAAAATCTATTCTCAGACACTTTCACAGAGGGGGCAGTTAGGGAACTGGCAGTCTCTTTCTGCTGCCAGAGAGTGAATACGGAAATTCCTAGAACAATGATGAAGTGGTATAAAGTTACTCAACTAATAATGTCCCAGTCACACCTTTTATGCAAGTCCACATTGACCAGGGAGAATAACTATCTTTTCCAAACCTCTTATCTGGTCTTCAATCATATTTTTGGGATGCACAGAAAGTCATTTTTGTGACTGGCCAGACAGTTTCAGTAATTAATTTATTTCCTGCTCTCAG